TATTCCCCCCTCACCCATCCCCCCTCACCATTCCCCCTCACTATCCCCCTCACCATCCCCCGTTGCCCATTTCACCATCACCCCCTCACTATTCCTCCCTTACTATTCCCCCCTCACTATTCCCCCCTCACTATTCCCCCCTCACTATTCCCCCCTCACTATTCCCCCTCACTATTCCCCCCTCACCATCCCCCTCACCATTCCCCCTCACTATCCCCCTCACTATCCCCCTCACCATCCCCCCTCACCATCCCCCCTCACCATCCCCCCTCACTATCCCCCTCACCATCCCCCCCTCAACATTCTCCCTCACTTCCCTGGATTTTCAAATTGATAAAAAATCTAGTTAATATAGAAATTTAATTTTTGCGTCGTCAGATTTTGGACTTGAGAAACACGAAACTTTTGACGAAGGCAGGGAGAGGCAGGGAGAGGAAGTAATAGGGAGACAGGAAGGTAGAGAGGTAGGGAGAAGAAGTAAGAGGGAGGTAAGAGGCAAGGAAAGTAATAGGGAAACAGGAAGAAGGGAGATGATGTGCAGTGAGGGGAAGGAGAAGAGAATGGAGGAGAGGAAGGAAGGGAAGGAAAGGAGAGGAGGGAGGAGAGAAGTTGGAAGAAAAGAAATAGTGAGAGCGAGCAAGGGAGAGTAGTGGTAGGGGAAATATTCTCCACTAAGTAGAGAGGAAAGAGGAAGAGATGATAATGACAGAAGATAGTACAGCAACTGATTAATATCTCAAGCAATAACTACTACCACTAATATAACCATAATATGAACCATAATAACCACCACCACTATAACTGCCACTGTTATAACCACCACCGCCGTAACTACCACCATTACCACCACCATAACTACCACCATTACCACCACCATAACTACCACCATTACCACCACCATAACTACCACCATTACCACCACCATAACTACCACCATTACCACCACCATAAAATACCACCATTACCACCACCATAACTACCACCATTACCACCACCATAACTACCACCATTACCACCACCATAACTACCACCATTACCACCACCATAACTACCACCATTACCACCACCATAACTACCACCATTACCACCACCATAACTACCACCATTACCACCACCATAACTACCACCATTACCACCACCATCAACTACCACCATTACCACCACCAATAACTACCACCATTACCACCACCATAACTACCGCCATTACCACCACCATTACCACCATTACCACCACCATAACTATCACCATTACCACCACCATAACTACCACCATTACCACCACCATAACTACCACCATTACCACCACCATTACCACCACCATTACCACCACCATAACTACCACCATTACCACCACCATTACCACCACCATTACCACCACCATAACTACCACCATTACCACCACCATAACTATCACCATTACCACCACCATAACTATCACCATTACCACCACCATACCACCACCATTACCACCACCATAACTACCACCATTACCACCACCATAACTATCACCATTACCACCACCATAACTACACCATTACCACCACCATAACTACCACCATTACCACCACCATAACTACCACCATTACCACCACCATAACTACCACCATTACCACCACCATAACTACCACCATTACCACACACCATAACTACCACCATTTACCACCACCAAATCTAACCATAACTACCACCATAATAACCATTACCACCATAACTACAATATCATTTCATTCAGCTGCCTCAATAATCTTGAGAATTTAGCAGATTAAAAGTGTGTTGGTTATCAGAATTTCTATCAGAATATGGCAATGCATAATGACTTTATAAAATTACATGATATATCATATTATATATAATATATAGTATAATTATCTTATATATATTTATATATATATATATATATATATATATATGCATATAAGATCACAGTAAACAGTGATTTCAGATATGCAAACAACACTGGCGAAAGACTAAGAAATCCCAAGGCTTTCGTGCTACTCACATTATCAAGGAACTATCAAGTTCCTTGATAATGGAGTAGTCACGAAAGCGCATGGACTTCTCAGTCTTTCACAGTGATTGTTTCGCATACGATATACTATATATATATATAATATTATAATAGTATTAATATTATATATTATCGTTCGCAAACAGGCGAAAATTATTTATAAACTTTGTCTCTACGTCACAGTAGGATCGAACCAGCTAACCTGTATCAAAGTTCAGTCTTTACCGAGATTAACCTCCGATAAGTATGGGCACTCTAGCCGAGCAAGTGATGTTACCCATACCCCCAGCACTAATACTCCGGGCACCATACCCGGGCACAACTCGGCACCATCCCGGTCACCAAGTCTCGGTTTTGAAATTATTTCATCGAATCCATCACATGCAGTGAAGAAAGAGATTTGAAATGCTATAAACAATTTGTAAACAGGCGAAATTATTCTAGGTAATCACGTCCTCAACTGGATCAACTTAAGGGTCAGGTCCCCTCATCTATCAGATTGATGGACTGACCACATCGACTCAAGTGTTGAGGGACTGATTCCTCATTCCCCTCTGTCTTCAAGTTCTCCTTTGTATGGACTGATGAAGCACTGTGTGGCGAAACGTTCCTCAATAAAGAGACCAGAGAAATTGGCAGATGTGATAATCTAAAGATATACATATACATATAGATAAGATATATATAATATATATAGAATAAAATGATATAATATTATATATATATATTAAATTTAATATTTCTAATAGTCCTTTAGTTAAGAGGTTTACTAACTGACCAGTGAATTGCTAAACTTTACCAAGGCGTTGGCCTCCAGCTCGAACCTGATATTGCCGTGCTGACCCAAAATGCATTAGTTAGAGAGCGGCGAAACTATTGGAGAATAATTGTCGTCACTCTCTTACAGCTGTATCGGTGTTCTGTCGTAGATGTGAGTGAGGAGAAGAGATAAAGTAGAAGAGAGAGGAGAGAGAGTGTTGAGAGAGAGAGGAGAGTGGGAGGGAGGGAAGGGTAACGTAGAGGAGGGGAGGGAAAGATAAAGGAAGGGAGAGAGATAGTAAGAGTACATTTACATTGGCAGGACGGATAACAGAGAAGTAAGGCTGTCTGCGGAGAACTATCCAGATTAAGGATTGTGTGTTTTCTATATGTTGGAAGCAAGACTAGTGAAGTAGAAGGCTCTCTCCCCACCCTACAAGCCCTCCGACCACTTAATAACTAGGAAAAATATTCCACACCCGGTACCACATTAAAAAAAAACTGGTATTCACAGGAAGAAGAAAAAGATGATAGTCACGGGCTACAAACTACCTTTGTTTCTACCGTAACTAAGTTACTCCACTGCTACTTACAGATGTAGATGTACCAGTGGTTCCACTTGTACTTTCCACTAGTACTTTTGCTCGAGACTGTGGCGCAGGTAGACACTACGCCACTCTTGTATCTACCACTACTACCTCTGCTTGCACCACTATTATTACTAACTTGGGTGCCCCAGTCTTGTCTGTTCTGCCTAGTGTAGTTGTTCATCCAACATCAAGGATCTGCTGATTACAGCTTCAGTGTAGTTTCTAGATGAATACTGTGTTACAGCTTGCTTCACTGTAGTTTCTAGATGAATACTGTGTTACAGCTTGCTTCACTGTAGTTTCTAGATGAATACTGTGTTACAGCTTGCTTCACTGTAGTTTCTAGATGAATACTGTGTTACAGCTTGCTTCACTGTAGTTTCTAGATGAATACTGTGTTACAGCTTGCTTCACTGTAGTTTCTAGATGAATACTGTGTTACAGCTTGCTTCACTGTAGTTTCTAGATGAATACTGTGTTACAGCTTGCTTCACTGTAGTTTCTAGATGAATACTGTATTACAGCTTGCGTCAGTGTAGTCTCTAGTTGAATACTGTATTTACAAGGTTCTTGTCCAGCTGGTTCTTCGCTGGATTTGGCACTGTACTTAGTTTCAACAGGATGTTTCTTCCATTCCATTTTGCATAAAATCCCTTACATGCTTTCGTATTGCTTCTCTTGCCTCGAAGTTTCCTGTCATTGTTTTAGAACTGTATTGTTTTGCTCTTGAAATAGTTCGTGTTTTTGTGATCAGAATTATTTTAGCATCTTCAAGGTTTGTATGAGATGTGTTGAGTTAAGTTAGGTTTGAATATATTCGTCTTCTACCTTTCCTATTTTTGTTTAATTCATGCTAAGCGCTAAACTCACGTGGGTCATTCAGTGGTAAACGTGGTGGAGGCTTGACACTCCGTCTGCTGAGCGTCCGACGCGCATCCTGTATGAAAAAAGTTAAATGACACAAGTATTTCTCTGATGGTTTGTCAGTGGTGATACAACCTGGGTTGCGTTTCTCCGTTCCCTCTAGTCAATCTTCGCTTCTATAAGTACTCTGGAACGAAAAGTTAGCAAGTGATATTGAAAAATTGGTCTGACATTTACATTATAGTTAATGTGGTTTCTGATTTGTACTCTGAATTTCTAGCTTTGAACCCCAGCATTCTGTTGACCTTGCTGCTGGTATTCCTTGTGTATACCTGGATGGTGTTCCGGGGGTCGACGCCCCCGCGGCCCGGGCCATGGCCAGGCCTTGCATTGTTTGGTACTTTTAAGATGACGACTCCAAGATCCTTTGTGTCGTTTTTCTCTAATTCACTGTTATATTTGTATTCATCTCCATGGGGAAGTGGAGAAGAATTCTTCCTCCGTCAGCCATGCGTGTCGTAAGAGGCGACTAAAATGCCGGGAGCAAGGGGCTAGTAACCCCTTCTGTATATATTACTAAATTTAAAAAAAAAAACTTTTTTGGGTCACCTGCCTCGGTGGAAAACGCATATTGTGGTAAAAATGTATATTTTGTATTCTTGTTAGAAATTATATTCGAAAAAGTATTATTTTGCACTTGTCAGAATTGAAATTCAGTTTTTGAATATAACAACACTGCAGATGTGGAGATACTGACGTGTGGGTTGTTCACTTGACAGGTCAGGACTACAACTTCAACAAGCTGACGTCAGAAGAGGTCAACTCACTGGGTCTACGATATGACTTCAACTCCATCATGCACTATGCTCGGGCTACCTTCGCTAAGGTATACCTCACTGCCTACCTTCTTCACCTCCCGTCTCTTTTTCCTCCCTCATCTCTCTTGTCTCTCTCTCCTTCCCTCATCTCTCTCTCTCTCTCTCTCTCTCTTTCTCTTTCTCCCCTCATATCTCTCTCTCCTTCCCCTCATCTCTCTTGCCTTTCTCCCTCCTTCCCTCATCTCTCTTGTCTTCCTCCGTCTCTCACCTCTCCTACCTCCACAACTCTCACTCACTAGTCTTCCCTGTTACTTTCCCTGTGCTAGTCTCTATTTATTGTCTACTAATGTATGTACTCACCTTGATTAAGTGCAAAACACACACACACACACACACACACTATGGAGAGGCAGACCAATATGTGTGTGTGTGTGTGTGTGTGTGTGCGTGTGTGTGTGTGTGTGCGTGTACTCACCCACCTAGTTGAGGTTGCAGGGGTCGAGTCCAAGCTCCTGCCCCCGTGTGTGTGTGTGTGTGTGTGTGTGTGAATATTTATAATGTGCAGTAGGTCTGTGCATGTTCAGTGTGTTCCTCACGTAATTTTTAAAACTCTTCATGGCTATAGTGCACACTACAACCTCTCTGAAACCATTCCACTGGTCAACAGATCCGTGAAGAAGCAACATCTTGCATCCCTTTGATTCTACTGTTTACTCTGACTCAAGAAATCGTAATGACACGATTGCAAATAAACCATACCCCCGGCCGGGATCGAGACTATGACCGCGGGTTCAATCCCGGCCGGGGGTATGGCTGTTTACTCTGTTAACGACTACTGTTGGCGGTACTAAAATGTCTCGTTTATCCATTCTTTCATGGGCAGACAGTGGCAAAATCTGACAATTGGGAATAAATAATAACTTTGATAGAAGGTAATAATGGTAGAATTACCGACAGAATGATAGGTAAATGGTCACAGATGCAGTTAATGTGACATTTTTACTGTGACAACGTTTCTCTCTCCAGGAGGTTTGTCAAGCTGGTACAAACAATACATGGACACACAGGGTATTATATTCTCTGTTTTCTTGTGTTTGTAACGGCTTAACAAAACTCCTGGAGAGCGAAACGTTGCCACAATGAAATGTCACATTAATTGCATCTGTGTCCTTTTACCCAAGAACTTTGATAAACCCGCGAAAAAGGTCAGCCTTGGGCGAAACGTCGTATTAACATCCTCTTGCTACCAGAGTCATTATTCTCCGCTTTTCTTTCACGTCCTTTTCATGACCTAGTATGTCGTTATCATGTCTCCTCTTTTTCCTCCTATCAGGCAGTAAGATCGACATTGCCTACACCATAACTTGTACTTCTTAACGTAGATACTTAAAGCTCTTCTCTGGACACCACACACCCATTCCATATTCCAGTTCTTGTTCGGTACATGTTATAAACAGGTGTTGCAGCATTTGACCATGCATATATTTGGAAGGTATTTGACAGTTGACTAGTGTTGCATGCCCTGGCCTGGTGGCTGAAGCTCCCGCTTCACACTCGGAGGGTCCGGGTTCGATTCCCGGCGGGTGGGAACATTTCGACGCGTTTCCTTACACCTGTTGTCCTGTTCACCTAGCAGCAAATAGGTACCTGGGTGTTTGTCGACTGGTGTGGATCGCATCCTGGGGGACAAGATTGAGGACCACAATGGAAATAAGTTAGACAGTCCTCGATGACGCACTGACTTTCTTGGGTTATCCTGGGTGGCTAACCCTCCGGGGTTAAAAATCCGAACAAAATCTTATCTCACGAAATCGTAATAATAAGATTGCAAATAGATCAGGGAACGGGTGGGATGTGAACTCGTGGTGAGTGAGTGCTAAGTTCTGGCCAGGGTGGAAACCCCACCCGTTCCCTGGTCTGAATTTCTATTTCGTTATTCTTTTTCGGTGATGATTTCTTGTTAATAACTCTCGGGATACAGTGATTATGTGTGAGTGAGGTGACATTGTTGAATGATGATGAAAGTAGTTTCTTTTCGGGGATTTTCTTTTTGGGTCACCCTGCCTCGGTGGGAGACGGCCAACTTGTTAAAAAAAAATCGGGATCTTTTGGTGATAAATTCAGTATTTTGTCTGTATTCCTCGTGAGGATTTTTTTTTTCAACACGTCGGCCGTCTCCCACCGAGGCAGGGTGACCCAAAAAGAGAGAGAAACCCAGAAAGAAAGAAAAAACTTTCATCATTCAACACTTTCACCATCACTCATAATCACTGTCTTTTCAGAGGCGCTCGGATACGACAGTTTAGATGTCCCTCCAAAATGTCAGTCTCCCAAACCCCTCCTTTAAAGTGCAGGAATTGTACTTCTCATTTCCAGGACTCAAGTCTGGGTAACCGGTTTTCCCGAATCCCTTCACTAAGTATTACCCAACAGCTCGTCAGGTCCCAAAAACCGTTAGTCTCCATTCACTCCTATCTAACATGCTCATGCACGCTTGCTGGAAGTCCAAGCCCCTCGCCCACAAAAACCTTTACCCTCCCCTCTTAAAGTCATTCTAAATGACCAAACCATCTCAACAGCCCCTCTTCTGCTATTACAACCCAGGAGTCCCAAAGGCCTGTTATCCTGGGTGTAAAGGGAGCAAAATAAACACAGCAGAAAAACTTTTGATTTATATTATCCTTCACCAATTTAGAACAGAAGTATGTACACTATATACATTATGTACGACAATAGGTATTAGTGCACTCCACGGTAATAAAGGCAGAATAGAAGCCACTAGAGAGCAGACCGTGCTTCAACCAGCTCTAGAATGGGAATGGCAAGGGCAGATGGGTGAGTGGTACCCACATCACCTCTGCAATTGCCAAAACCATCTTCTCATTGGCTGGAACCTGGGTACTGATTGAACGACTGAGCCCCATCGTCAACCCTTAGCCCCTGGTTTGCTGATTGGGGGAGATATCCTGTAAATGAGGGTGTGTACATGCGCTGAATAAAGGTTACATACTCTTTGCATGCCACACCCCCACCCCGAGATGGCTCAGGATTAGGCTCCCACCTCCCAGTGGTAACCGTGCCGCCATGGCACCAAATAATGGGACTGCCTTTCTCTCAACCATCCAACTCTTAGATAGAGCTCAGCTTTTTTCATGACAAAAAGCCAAACCCTAAACTCAAAGCGAGACAGCAGACAGTCGGGCTAACATAGGTCCAAGACACGGGCAGACGGTAGCCCGCGTCCCCTCACTAAAAAAAAAAAAAAAAAAAAAAACCAGGGGATAAAAAAAAAGAACTTGAAAGGGGTTACCACAGGTAACCTAACACATCCTAACCTAATATATAATTATAATAATATAGAGTAACATTGTTAAACTCTAGATAAAGAGTCTGCCAACATAATTTCTTTGCCGGCAATGTGTAATATTCTGAGAGTAGGGTTGCAGTAGTAGACTCCATCTCATGAGCCATCATATTGTGGTTCTTCATGGCTTGGAGATATACTAGAGGGTTGTGATCACTGTAGACAGTGACCACCTGCGAAGTCTGGCCCACGTAAACATCAAAGTGCTCCAAAGCCAGTACCAGCGCGAGGGCTTCTTTTTCAATGGTAAAGCCCTCTGATGCGGCTGGAACTTAGCAGAGAAGAAGGCTACAGGCTGCAACTCGTCCCCGTTTTGCAACAGTACTGCCCCAACCCCAGACTCACAAGCATCAACCTGTAATGAGAAAGGCTTGGAGAAGTCTGGAGACAAAAGAATGGGTGCAGTACACAATAATCCTTTTGCTTTATAAAAAGCACCTTGGCACTCTGGGGTCCAATTAAAGGGAACTTTGTGACTGGTAAGAGAGGTAAGAGGGGCTACAATATCTGAGAAATTCTTAGAATCTTCTGTAAAATCCTATCATGCCTAGGAAACGTTGAAGAGATTTCCTATCATGTGGAACTGGATAATCTTTAATGGCAAGAACTTTAGCAAATTTAGGAGCACCTTTACCACTACCTACTTTATGGCCTAGAAAAGTAACAGTGGCCTGGCCAAAGGAAGACTTAGATAAATTAACAGTTAAATGGGAGCTCTGAAAGGTCTCAAAGAGAGCCTTAAGTCTAAATAGGTGTTGATCCCACAACAATATCATCCAGGTACGCTGCCGTGCCTTCAAGTCCTTTAATAGCCTGATGGATAAGTTTATGGAATGAAGAAGGGGAGTTTTTTATTCCGAAGGGGGTAACTGTATATTGATAATGACCTCCTGGAATTACGAAGGCAGAGATTTCCTTCGCCTTATCCGTCAAAGGTACCTGATAGTAATCTTTAAGGAGATCTAACTTGGACACAAACGTAGCCTTACCCACAAAGTCGATTACGTTATCCAGACGAGGAAGAGGGTAAGCATCTGTGATTGTGACCTCATTCACCTTACGGTAGTCTGTACACATACGAAAATCTCCATCAGCTTTTTTAACAAGGATGCACAGTGAAGCCCATGGACTAGCTGACTCCTCCACTAACCCATGCTTTAACAGAAATTCTACCTCCTGCTGAAGTAGCTTCTGCTTTTCAGGATTAGTTCTGTAGGGGGAGAGTTTCCCACATCTATGTCATGATAACCTAAAGTACATTTTTTCGGCACATCCGACAAAATATCAGGGTAAGACTGTAGAAGCGCAGTTAAACTTGTTGCTTAAGTTTTAGATATTCCCTCCATTAACGGGCTCGGGTCCTTGAGGAGGACAGAGTTTGGAAGTTTGACATTAATTTCAGAAATAGTGCAAAGAGTCAGTCATCCTCAGAGGTAGAGGACAGTCATTACTGGGGCTTTATCTGGTGTATGAAAAGATTTTAATTAATTAATGTGTTAAGTTTTAGTTTTTGAGGTCTTATCAAGGGGAGCTACCATATAATTTACATCAGATAATTTACTTACAATTTGCATAGGTCCCGTAAATCTAGCTTTCAAGTTGTGGCCAGGTATAGGTCCCTGCACCAACACCTTGTCTCCTGGATGGAAGGAGAGGAATTGTGCACTTCTGTCATACCTCTGTTTCATCTTATTTTGAGCTGCC